AATTGTTGTTCAAAAATTACATTAGACGTATGCACATCAAGTTATAAGATAATAACATAGCATAGACATAATTTTGCTTAATTTTTTTAGGTTTCGTACCAAGATTTTCATTTTTTGAAGTTTACTTATAGGTTCAAGCAAATTTCAAATTTTCCTAGAAAATTGAATCCAAGAAAGATAAAAAATCAAAATTTTGGAAAATATACAAAGCTTTATACGACAAATATGAAATTTAAATTTACAATTCAGTTAGAAAATGTCTATATTTCAAATGCGCTATTCTTATCATAAGAAATATATCCTCAGATGGATTCATTCGGCACCTCTTGCTAATGTAAACATTCTCAAGTGTTTTGTGCGATAAGATCGTCACTGTAGAATATATGAGCGATAAAATATATAGTATTTTCAATTATCTATTTGAAAATATTTAAAATTTGAAATTGTTGTTAGTCATTGATCAACTTTTATTGATTACCGATCTTTTCCGTCGAATATATAATTCTGGTACGGGAAGTACCGGCAATTCGCCTTAAGGCATGATGCCATACACACCACTAGTTTATTGTAACATTTTCCCTTACCTGAAATATAAAATCGGGTTCGAAACATTCGGAGTCTTATCATCGAACGGTTCAACAATAATAGTAAATCCATGTGTATACGTTGAGACTAACGTAGCTAAATGTGTGATCAACACCAGGGCTCCAAAATCAGTCATATCAGTTACTTCCAGAGTCCGAAGCAGAGAAGCGAGTCTTTCTGCACAAAATCTCAAAGGCTTTCGTTCGATGCATACTTTTGACTGGATGTCTTTGAGAAAACCTGAGGTAAAAGACAAATATGAGTTACTGAAGTTTGTTGAAGAATAATTTTATAAATACTATAGTGTACCTGCTGGTGATTCCTGCACGACATGCTGCACCCGAAGCCTGGTTTTGATGTATTCGACGAATCTTTTTAAGAATCCTACGAAATGTTCTGCGTTTCTTATGTTTCCAGGTACTACTTCTGCAAATAAAAAGAATATTTACATATATATAAAAATAAGTCGGGTTTTCCTTCCTGAATTTCACCATTCAATCAAAAATTGCTGGCGATTTGGTGACATACCAATGATTCCGACTGATCTTCCGTTTGACTTTGACAATTACAATTAACAAGCCGCAAGGCCAATCGCTTAGTGTTTGCGGGATAAATTTCAAATAGATTATTTAGAAAATCATTGTTTTTCACATGAACAGTTATACGTTGCCTGTTCACGAGTTGGGAAATCATACGCTTTGTTTGTGTTAACGTCAGACCAAAAAACAAAAAATGTGGTTTAACAAAGAGCACTTCAATGAAACGGATAATTTGCGGATTCACTTGCATTTACTTAGAGAAGTTCAACTAACAAATACTTCATTTTTGTAATCGAAGTAAATTCATTACTGTGGTATAATAAAATCAAATTTTTCTTTTTCAAATATAAAACAAACAAAAAAATTCTTCATCTTTCTCACGAAACCATCTGGTGGCGAAATGGAGTTCGTCGGGTTTGCTAGTATTATTATAAATTTGTTCAAAATTATGTTAAATTTAATTTGTAAAATTATATCCTTCTAATATAGAAAAACAAATAATGTACAATAATAAAAATCTGATAGTAGAAAATTGTGGGAATTGGTAATATTAGTATTGTTTTAGTATGTAACTTTCCGATTGGACATTCTTATATTTAATTACATTATTAAACATATCTTATTATCAAAAATAAGTTATAGTAATCGCAAAAAAATCGAAAATGAAAATTTTTATATATCTTTTAAAAAATGATTGTGTGTGTGTGTGCGTGTACGTGTGTGTGTGTGCGGATACAAATTTTTGTCGACGATTTCGGGAACACGGATGAAGCGATTTGAATAATTCGAAAAACATTTGATTCTGAACTGATAAGGACACGTTCTGATTAGTTTTTGGCAAAGGCAGGTCTAGCCGTTCCGAAGATATGGGGCAAAAAGTGCTAAAAACGGTAACTCAGTTTTTAAGAGAACGGAATGTCCGATTTGAATAATACAAAAAACATTTTACTTGTGTTAACAAGATGAAAAACTGATCAAATTTTCATGAAGGCAGGTCTAGCGGTTTCGGAAATCTAATAAAAAAGTAAAAAAAAAATGCCATTTGGCGGTCAAAAATGATCATTAGACATATGCACATCAAATTATCAGATATTTTATAGAGATTTTAACAATAAGTATAAATTTTGTTAACATTCCTATGGGTTCCGTATCAATATTTATCCGTGTGCTTTGACATATCGTTTCTCTGCATTTAAAGCAGTACGATTGCTTTGAAAAAAAGTTCAGAATTTCGAAAATATGTCAAAATAAAGAAACCGTATTTTTTTGTCAAATTTATAGTTTCTCAAAAATCTAATTTCTTCGAAGTATTTTTTTTCAAAAATGTTAATCGTTTTTAAAAAAATAATAATGTTTGGTACGGGAAGTTCCAGCAATTTGCCTTAAGACTCGATGCCATGCACACCACTAGTTATAAATTTATTCAAAATTATGCCAAATTCAATTTGTAAAATTATATACTTCTTATATAGAAAAACAAATAATGTACAATAATAAAAATCTGATAGTAGAAAATTGTGGGAATTGGTAATATTAGTATTGTTTTAGTGCGTAACTTTCCGATTGGACATTCTTATACCTAATTACGTTATTAAACATTAACAAAAATACTTTTTCAAATTATCATTTATCAAGTTAATGCACGTTTATTTAACGTTTACAGGTACATCCGCTAGCAGCGCTACCATCGCAAAGAATGACATTCGACCCGCCATATTTGTTGTTCTATATAAACACAAAGTTGAGGTTAAGTTTGACAGATCTTACCATGTGCTAAAATCAAAATAATTAATATTTAACAATGGGTTCTAAATTCCGTGGCAAAAATACAAATTCCAAACACAAACCGAATAAATCAAAATTCAAACGACATAATGGCAAATCTAAACCGAAACCGAAGCAAAATCAAAACAAACACAGTTCAAGATTTTTGGCAAAAGTGCAAAACCAAGAGGCTGAGGAAAGGCTAAAAAAGCAGCGTATGAGGGACTTAGAAATACAAAATCAGCAAAGTGACAGCTCTGAGGAAGAGCAGGTTGAAAATCCATTGAATATGCTTCTTTCGTCTTTTAATAATAGAGAGGTAAAGGACAGTAAGGCTTGCAGTTCTGATGAAGACTCCATTGGGAGTGATTCTGATTCTGATGAATACTTAGACGACGAAGACTTAGAAGATGAAGATATGTTTGATGAACATAACGAAGATGATAATTTAGAAGATAACGATGATGCTGAAATGCAGTCAAACGGTGAATCAGATCATCAAGATGAAACACAAACCGAGGATCCATCAGATCCTGCAGATGCTACAGAAGATTTACCAGCGTCCGACAACTTCAGCATGCACCTAGATCACGAATTAAGCCCGGAGTTACTAAATATCTTATCAAACAAACCTGTAAACTCATCAAATCATGAATTAACATGGCCTGCACTGGGTAAGTTATTTGTAGATATTCCAACATGTGATAAACCGGTTGATAAAACCATTAAAACCCTTGATGATGATGTTACTTATGCAACAGAAGGCACAAAGCCTGAACGTATAGATTTAAACAAATTAGACTGGTTAAAAATTGGTTTGAAACAACAATTGATACCACATGTGGTAAAAGAAGTAACACCTTTACAATCGGAACTGTTTTCTATAATGAATAATTACCAAGATTTGTATTATCCTAACCGCACTTTACAAAATGGTGAAGAAGTGAGGTACACGTATTGTTTGCATGTTTTAAATCACGCGCTTAAAACCAGGACTAAAGTTTTGCACCATAATTCCAAAATTTTGCAAAACAAGAATGAAGTTCCTGATCGGTTTAGAGATCAAGGTTTTGTGAGGCCGCGGATTTTGATTGTTGTACCATTTCGTGATAGTGCTTTAAAAATTGTTAAAATTTTAACAAATTTGCTTGTCCCGAATAGAGGTGGAGGTGTGCAAAATAGTTTACGGTTTGAACAAGAGTACGGGGGTGAAAGTATAGCTTTTCCTAAACACAACCCCAAACCCGAAGACTACGAACAGTTGTTTACAGGGAACACAGACGATACGTTTAAACTCGGCGTGGCGGTTACCAAAAAAAGTATAAAATTGTACGCTGATTATTACGGGTCTGATATTATAATCGCGTCCCCCTTGGGTTTACGTATGTCCGTAGGGGCACCCGGAGAGTCTCACAGAGACTACGACTTTCTTTCATCCGTAGAACTACTTGTAATGGACCAAGCAGACGTATTTTAGCCCAGAATTGGGATCACATTCTCCATAATGGAGCACATGCATTTACAACCAAAAGAGTCTCACGATACGGATTTTGCACGTGTACGCATGTGGGCTTTGAATGGTCACACACCCGATTGTACAGACAAACCATACTTTTATCATCACACGATATACCACAATTGCGTGCTTTTATACGTGGAAGGTGCTCCAACTACCGGGGCACAGTACGTGTAGTAAATCCTGTAATCGGAGGCTCCATACGCGAAGTTGTAGTCACATTACCTCAAGTATTCCACCGAATAACTTGTGCTACAGCTGCTGAAGCTATTGATGCACGTTTTAACTATTTTACCAAAAAAGTCTTGGGGCAGTATCGGAGCCCTGCAATGGCCCAATGCTTACTATACATCCCCGACTACTTCGACTACGTACGTTTACGTAACTACTTCAAACGCGAAGAAATAAACTTTACCCAAATCTGTGAGTACACAAAAGACTCCAAGATGGCACGAGCAAGAGACATGTTCTTCCACGGTATAGCCCCCATAATGTTGTATTCAGAACGAGCACACTATTTCAGAAGATCTCGTATCAAAGGGATAAGACATATAATTTTCTATCAGCCTCCAGGATGGCCACATTTTTATTCGGAGATGTGCAATTTGATGCAGGAAGCTAACCAGAATCGCAAGACTGGTGTTGATAATAATATGACTGTTACGATTTTGTTCACAAAGCATGATATATTGCAAGTGGCAGGTATCGTTGGAACGGAGAGGGCTGGACAGTTGACACATTCGAATAAGGATGTACATATGTTTATGACTGGGGATTGAGAAATCATTAATGCAATTGTATATATATATATATATATATATATATATATATATATATGATTATTTTGTATATGTAAAATATAATTTAAGAACAAATTTAATCTTTTATTAGTTGAAATTATGAATTTATGTTTTCAGGATAAGAATGGAGTTTCAGTATTTAGATTTAGAACTAGTGGTGTATGGCATCGTGCCTTAAGGCAAATTGCTGGAACTTACCGTACCAAAAATTATTTTTTCAAATAAGATTAATTTTTTTTAAACCTCGAAAAAATTTGATTTTTGATAAATTTTTAATCTTTGAAAAAATTGACTTTTTGAGAAAAAATGTTTTTTTATTTTGAAATATTTTAGAAATTCTGAACTTTTTTCAAAGCAATCGTAACTGCATAGAGACGAAATAACGAGCGCATAAGCGCCGCGCCGCCGTCTAACGATAAGCATTGGTACGGAACCCATAGGAATGTAAACAAAATTTATACTTAGTGTTAAAATCTCCATAAAATATCTGATAATTTGATGTGCATATGTCAAAATATTTCATTATAAAATTGAATAATCTAACAAGATTTTTAAAATCCTATCAAAGTTTTCATTAGTCATTAAAACCGATAAAATTCATTATAATCCTAAATTTTTTTTATTCTATATTTATATTATATTTATTTTTCAAGGATCTGCTAAAAATTTCAATAATAAGCTAAATAATGCTAAAAATTTCAATAAAAAAAATAATTTGCAACTAAAATTCTAGTTTGTGATAAAAATCATAAATCTGCTAACAAAAAATCGTGATTCTGCTAGAAAATTCATAAACTTGTTAAAAAAAAATTAATAAGCTGTTAAAAAATCAATTAATCTGCTGAATAAATCATAAATATGCTAAAAAAATAATTAAACTGATAAAAAACTCATAAATCTGCTAAACGAAATAATTAATACTATAAAAAAAATAATGAATGGCTAAAAAAAACATTAATTTACTAAAAAAATTATGAATCTGCTAGAAAATTCATAAAGTTGCTAAAGAAAATAATTAGGCTGATAAAAACTTCATTAATCTGCTAAATAATGATCATTTTTGGTCGCTAAAAGGCATATTTTTTTTTTTTTTTTTACTAGATCTCCGAATCCGCTAAACCTGCCTTCTCAAAAATTCAGTTCTTCTCTTTAAATACAATGTTTTTTGAATTATTAAAATCGGACGCTCCGTTCTCTTAAAAACTGAGTTACTGTTTTTGGCACTTTTTGCCTCGTATCTTCGAAACGGCTAGACCTGCCTTTGCCAAAAACTAATCAGCACATCTCCCTATCAATGGAATCGAATGGCAAATGAATCATTCAAATCGGTTGATCCGTGCGCCCGAAAACGTGAACGAAAAAATGTGGACCAGAAAAACACACACTGAGGTATGCCAAAATGTTCAGAAACCTCTGAAACGTGAAGATATGCGAAGAAAAAAATTAATTTTCTATTTTTGGCCCATTACTATAACACTCTACGGAAAGTTAACAAGTATAATTATAACGACTACACGATGTATGTCCCAAAGGAGCGTCTTAATAATGTTTTATAATATATTTAAATTTTATAATATATTTATATATAATCGTACCTTTGAGAATTTCGTCCGGCAGTACAGGATTACTTAAAACCAAATCAGTCTCTCGAGCAACACTTGCATCTTTTAAACCCTGCACTAATCTCTGATATTCATCGGTCAGTCTTTTTGCATCATCTTCACGCATTCTAAAAAAAAATAGATATCATAAATAAAACTTACATTCATACATTCATAGAAATTAAATCAAAAAAATATATATTTACTATAACAAATAAAAATTTGAACTTTACAAAAATATTATAGGATCATTAACAAAATTGTGGTAATTTTTTCATTGCTTAATTTATATTTATTCATTATGTATATAATTATAAAATCACAATTGTCACAAAATTCTTTTCTAGACAAAATTTGAATATCAGATCGACATAATATAATAATATATATTTATAAGAATATGTATTATTTTAATTATTGGTGCTTAATAAAAAAAAAAGTAATAATGGATTTTATGGTTTACTAATACTTAATTATATTTACATGTTTGTTTCATTAACTTTTAACTGTAATAAATAAAATAAATAAAAATTTCTTACTCTGCAATTGTCTTCTCCAAAATTTGCAAACTGGCCGTACTCCTTTCAATAGTTCTTCGATTTATTCTAACACTCATAGAATCGATACAAACATTATCTAGAAATAAACAAATTATCAAATAAAAGGATAATCATTAGAAACATTCTGCACATTTACAACAATTTAAAATGTTTTGAACATTTTTTCAATTAAAAAAACTTATAGAAATCTTATAAGAAAGTATCTGTTAGAATATGTTTGTTTTCTTTTTTCAAATTCAACTATTGAATTAATATATTAATTTTATGTTTGTTTTAAATTTATTTGTTAAGATTTCTATATATAAAATGTTTACCTATGTTATGAGCTTCATCAAAAACTACAACAGATTCTTTAGCAAGTTCTTTCGAGACGACATCAGCAATTTTTGGATCTAGCAGATAATGGTAACTGTATACGACTATTTGAGCATGCAATATCTGAAATAGAAATTCATTTATATAATAACTTCTCTATATTATAATAAAAAATACTGGTACTAGCAAAAATTTATGTAATTACATATGTAGGACTTATGGTAGAGTAAAAGTAAAAGTTAGCTCATAAAAAATAATTAGATTAATAAATGAAATAGTTTAAATTAATGAGAACTGTATATTGTTTTGCAAAGATCTTATTTGGATAAAAAATCTTAAATAATAATCATTTATGATTAATTTTGCCTAGGTGCAGACTACTGTACTATTGTAATCATAGATAATCAAGTATAAATAGGTTGCAAACACGATGGCTTTGAAATTACATCAATTTTAATTCTTTCAGCATATCATAGAGGTCGCCACCAACCGTAGCACGTAAATTTACCTTTAGGTTCAATTCTAGGATAAGATTTACATAAATATATAATATAGATAAGATAAACCAGATTAATTTGACTAAATGAAATGAGAACAATTAAATTAGAGTATAAAATATAAAATATCTATAAATAGATAAAATATCTTGAATAATGATCATTTATGATAAATTTTGCCTAGGTGCAGACTACTGCACTATTGTAATAATAGATAAACAAGTATAAATAGATCGCAAACGCGGTCGCTTTGAAATTACAACAATTTTAATTCTTTCCGCATATCATAGAGGACGCCACCAATCGTAGCACGTAAATTTACCCTTAGGTTTAATTTTAAGATAAGTTTATTTAAATGTACAATTTAGTGAAGTTAGAGCTGATTAATTTGACTAAACGAAATGAGAACAAAATATACGCGTATAAAATATAATTTCAACAAAATCACAAATATGTTGTAAAAATATATAATATTTTTTTCATTCAAAAAAGATATATTTCAATATATAAAATTTGCACTTGAACGTCTGAAGTGCGTGAAATCTAAAGAAACTATAAACTATTTTTTTTTAAAAATAGCAGAATTTGAAGCACACTAGCGCCATCTGTGATATGCTGAAAACACTAATAAAGAGTAAAGCACATTTGTTCTATTTTTACACCCCATGATTGTAATAAATAAACTTCAGTTATTCAGAATTAAGCCCTATCATATTTCATTTCTATTAATTATTATTTACAAATTTATTATATATATATATATATATATATATATATATATATATATTGTTTATCTTACCGCAAATCTAGCTAAAAAATATGGACACCAGCTCTTATTCTGTCCATATTGTTTGAGATCATCTAAACTATAAACTCCATTCGGCAATTGAGACTCTTTTCCTTCAAGACTGAAACCTTCATAGTAATCACCTGAAAAAAAAAAATAAATAATAACAATAATAATAAATAGACAGAATTTTGCATAATCAGAATCTGTGGCAAAAATTATAAATCTAAGGTAATTATAATAAGATTTTAGTCACAGTTTAATAATTTCAATGTTTTTTTCAATGATTGTTGTGATTGATTGCTTTTTGAAGGGCGAATTATAAAATACTTTAATTTTGTAACTAATAATATTTATTTTATGTTAATTACAAATTATAATCGTATTTATAATAATTTCAATGTAACTAAATGTAAATGATATTTTGAATACTTACATATAGGTGTATTTTCATCAACATTATGTCTATCACGAACATAACTTGCTGTTAATGAATGGCATCTTCCATCGACTATTTTACCTTCACGTTCTTTACTAACCTGTAAAATATTAAAATATATATTAGGGTGGTCCTTAATATGGACATTTTCGAATTTCTTTGCTCCCAAGGGCTCAAATGCTTCCAAATCAATATAAAAAAAATTTCTAAAAGTTTTAGCTCTTAATATTAACATTTAGATAGTCCGCAATTCAATTAAATGTTTCGTATTTTTATTAAGTAAATTCTTGCGCCATCTGTGATAGCATTTGTAAACTCAAATATTACGATACTTAAAAATATTTATAAAACACTCAACCTCTAATTAAATCCATGTGGACTGTTTAATGAAATATTTATTCAAGATTAATTTTGCATCAAAATATTTATTTAATTGGTGATTTTGACACTCAAATTATCAGTAATAAATTGCCATCAAAATTACAAGTCTGCTATCACAGATGGCGCAATAATTTACTTAATGATATATGGTAATAATGAATATAAGAAACTTTTAATTGAATTGTGGACTATCTACATATTAATATTGGGAGCTAAAACTTTTAGAGATTTTTTTTAAATTAATTTGGAATCATTTGAGCCCTTGGGAGCAAAGAAATTCGAAAATGTCCATATTAAGGACCACCCTAATATATAAATATATGTAGTTATATATTTCTCTTACCTCAGGATGTATACACAAATTCTTCCTAGAGCTCAAAACCAATCCAGTAAAATTCAAAGTTTCTTTGGTACAACTTTCATAATACTCAAAAAGATTCTTCAATTCTTGTACAACCTTTTCAATTTCAGGAACAGTTCGAGAACAATATATTAATTTTCTTACAGAATGTGGGTTTTCAATCATATAAGCCACGATTAAAGATAGCAGAGTTGTTGTTTTGCCTGTTCCTGAAGGCATTTCTAATAGACAATGACCCTGGAATAAAATAAATAATAAAATGTAATAAAATAAGTAAATATAGTTAATAAGATTTTATATAAACTTTAGGATGTAAATTTATTTAATGGGATAAGAATGAATGTATTAAATTACATATTGATGTATTGTAAATAATTTAAAATTCTCAAAACATTCAAGATTACTTGGGTAAAGATTAAAATAAATATTTTTACAAGTTATTTACAATACTTTTAAAATTAAAAGTCATTTCAACGTTGTGTCAAAAAGGTTAGGTTCCAAACAAGAAAAATTGTATCAAAGATATTTATATCTATTAAAAATCTTATATGATATTACAGAGTCCGCCAAATAACTTTATTTTTTTTTTACAAACTACTGAATATTTTCTAAAATTTCTTTTTCTATTTGAAAGTACAATCCTTTCAGTTAATAATGAAATTAATGCAGTTAATAATTTAATTAAAAAATGAAGAAAAAAAGCCTCATCTGACCATTGAAAAAAAAATGAAAATGAAAATGAAAAATGTTAGATGACATACCCTATATTAATAACAATTGCAAGATAAAAGTGTAAAAAAAAGTTCTATACATATAGCACTTCAATAATTAAGTCATTCCAATGTTGTGTCAAAAAGATTGGGTTAAAACAAGAAAAATTGTATCGAAGATATTTATATCTATTAAAAATCTTTCATGATATTATTAAAAACAATAACAAGATAAAAGTGTAAAAAAAAGTTATTTATATATTACACTTTTGTAATTAAGTCATTTCAAAGTTGTGTCAAGAAGGTTAGATTAAAACAAGAAAAATTGTATCGAAGATATTAATACTTATTAAAAACCTTTTATGATATTATTAACAACATATACAAGATAAAAGTGTAAAAAAAAAGTTATATACATATAGAACTTCGGTAATTAAGTCATTCTAACTTAAACCAGAACATTGTATCTATAATACTTATACCGATTAAAGTTCTTTTCTGGTATTATTAAAAACAATTACAAGACAAAAGTGCAGAAGATTGTATAGTACTTATACCTTGGCATCCAGGCCTCTTTTAAGTTCCAACATATAAGCATACTGTTCAGGATAAATGTAATCGTATGGAAAGTATACGATTAGGCCTTCCACGCTCAACCTAAAAATAAAACAGAAACTTAGCATCGTAACTGAACTTATCACTATAGCAATATATATATATATATATATATATATATATATATATACACATTCAATATTTTAATGTTAAGTGTATCGTTGGATATTTAGATAAAAAAATGACTTTTATAATAATTGTACATCTACAAAAGCATTTTATATGCTGCTTCAATTACTTTTATATAAAATACATGAAAAATATATGATTTAATATAATAAATATATTTTTACAACTAAAATGCAACTTATAGGTAGTCATTTAGTAATTCTTACTTCATTTTGTTGATTTATAGTTATCCTTAATTATAATAACGGAAACATTTATCCTTATATTTATACACAATATTTAAATCAAATTAACACTTTTTTATTTATTTATAATATTATTTATCAAAATTATTCATTTGCACACAACTTGTAAAAGTGTATTAAAATTTTTAGGTTAAGTTTTGGATGTACTGTCAACTTCACGAAGAAGAAACGTCAAAATGGCTAAAATAAAAACCGTTAGAATTCAAAATTTAAAATGTAAATTTGTGAAATATAATATATGATGTAAATGAATAGAATTTTTGTGTTTAGTTTCGAAAACGATATTAGAACATTAAATACAAAATAATATAAATAAAAATCAACACAATTTGTTCAATATTTATATATCTCCTTTATAAAACCTTATCACATAATACAATAAATACAAAATTTACTTTATACAACTCTTTTTTCCATATATGTCTCCACTTCATTTTTGGCAGACAGTATAGAATCATTAACCGAAACCCCATCAAAAGAAGACCCACAAACAGACAAACACAAATTATGATCCTTAATATAATTCCTTATACGCTGAACCCGATCATTATGCCCCACCAAATACTGGGGAATACAATCATCCAAAACATTAACAAAATATCTCGAAGGCAGAGCTTTAAGTTTCAAAATACTCGTTGTGTGTGCCTCTGCAACCGTGTATAACAAATCATTTGTAGGATACAATCCAAAATACTTCCTAAACCATCTACCACCCAGCATCACGGTTAAAATAGTTTTACCAGGTGTTGGGACACGACAACTATCAAATATAACACCAAGTATTGGCAGGTTTTCTTGTGGAGGCACTAAGAAGCCAAAACCTTTCTCATTTATAACCTCGCAATCGTATTCTAAATTTACAACAGCAATAGAGACGAAAGGGATTTGTTTAAGTTCTTGTGATAATTGTGGGTGCTGATCACCTAGTAGTACGGCTAAACGGTTTGCTGGTAAAGAGCTGATGATATGATCTGTTTTTATTTCTGTGTCACCATTGACAACAATTTTTGCTGAATTAGGTAAGAATTCTAGTTGTGTGATATTTGCTTTTAAACTTATCTCAGTGTTTTTAGCTTTAACATGCTCGCATAAAGCTTTAGGCAACATTTCTAAACCGCCTTTTAAAGAATACAAACTCCACTTTTCCTCACGAGCCTTTTTTATCAACTCATTGTCCACTTTGTCTTTATTTTTATCAAACTTCAACATATCTAAAAGCATACCTTTGATAATACCTCCGTGCTTTTGCTCGTTTTGAAACATATCTTTCATAATTAGTTTAACGCTGATTTCTTTAGCATCACCTCCACAAATACCGCAAATCAACGGACTTATTGCAAAGTCTGCAACTTCTTTACCGAAACGTCTTTTTGCAAAATCATATATAGACTCATCATTTTTTCTGTTAACCTTTGATGGTGTCACAAATTCAGTCCATAAAGAGTAAATCAAAGGCTTTGTGAACGGTTCTTGTTTACGGAATAGATATAACAAACTCGAAGGCAACTTATGAAGTTTCTTATTGACATAAATCATACGATTACGAGATACTGGGTCGGTTGATTTAGTCGGCATAATTAGGTGGGTGATATTTAGTTCTTGCAGGAGTTTTAAAGTGTTTTTACCAGATATGCCAGATGGTCTGAGGGTTCTTGGACCTACAAATCAAACTTAGTTAACAATAGAAATAAAAATAGTTGTGTTAGAAATAAAAGTACATGTGGTTATACCGTGTTCAAAAATAAAATCATCGTGTATATTCGATCTAATCCAGCCTCCGACTCTTTGAGATGCTTCTAAGACTTGCACTTTACCTACTTTATTCCTGGTCAAGTAATAAGCGGCTGATAAGCCGCTTACACCACCACCTAACACTACAGGCATAGTAAATAGATATATTTATACTATTCAAGTCATTCTAATTATAAAATTGGTTTATAAAATTTTCAAAACATTTGTGTTTTGACATTTTGCAACAGGTGACAGTTGGGCAACAATGGCGGATGACAGGTTTCACTGACTGATTGGACTCGTTATAATTTGAATTAAAAGTAAATAAACTATATAAATATATATTTATATTGTAAACTAGGTGTAAGTGATAATCTGCATTAAGGTAAATAGAAATATGAACAAAAATATATTTATAAAAAAATCTTTTGGTTGATACTTGGTTTGGTATGAAGTTATATATTATTGAAAACAACATGCTTATTTATCTATGTTTAACAAAATATAATTTTTAAGTAAACGTGTGGCTAGTAGAATTACAACTTGCTTTAAGACAAAATACCATTTGCACCTAATTGATTTATTAGATTCTATAACAAAATAAATAATTGTTTAAAATATTATTGACAGGTAACAGTTGCATAATAATGGCGGATGACAGTTTAATTGACTGATTTGACTCGTTATATTTTGAATTAAAAGTAAATAAATTACATAAATATATATGTATATTGTAAACTAGGTGTAAGTGATAATCTGCATTAAGGTAAAGAGAAATATGAACAAAATATGTATTTATAAAAAAAACTTTTGGTTGATACTTGGTTTGGTATGAAGTTGTATGCTTTTGAAAACTACATTTAACAAAACATAATTTTAAAGTATACCTGGTTGCTAGTAACTTTAAAGCTAAATACCACTTGCACCTATTTTTTTATTAGGTTCTATAATAAAATAAATCATTGTTTAAAATATTATTATTATTATTATTGAACTTTACCCTGACAGCTAACGATTCAAAATGGCTTCCGCTTAACCTCTGTCACAAAAAAGAGTCCTTTATCCTTCAAAAATGTCGCAATCTCTTCTCGATCCGGACCTCCGGAAAGTAATCCAGGATACAACAGCCATCAGAACAATATACACATCGACTTTAAAACAATTAAACAGTTTAAAAACCGACAACCAAATTTTGCGTAACGAACTAGAATCATCGCGCCAGGACGCAAAACAATTACGAAACCGTTCACTGAAATTCATTAACATCATAACAAATTTGAAAGACAACGTATCGAGTTTAGAAAAATTGATTAAATCCCGAGATGAAGAACTCGTGGAGTTGAAATCAAAGTTAGAAAGTGCTTCAGGGATTGAAAATAAACATCAGGAGGTTGTGGATGAATATGAAAAGGTTATTAGTGATTTGAAAAATGAACGCGACAAAGAAATGGCGGCGTTGAAAAATGAAATGGAGACGAAAATGCAAGATGCTGCTGTTGATTTGGAAGTAACAAAGGCTACGAGTTTTGCACAAGTTAGCGATTTGGCGGAAAAATTGGAGGAATTGAAGGCCGTCGAAAGCAGAAAGGTAAGAAATGATAATTTTTAAGGTTATGGATAGACAAAGAAGTTTCTCTCATTTCATTTTGTACGTTAGTAGAGTTCCTTTCTTTCGTATTTTAGTATTTTAGTAGTTTCTTTTTTGTATTTTAGATCGATCGCGAGTAGTGTGTGTATATGCTTTTATTTTATTTGGTTTTCTTCTCATTTTAATTTGATTATTATCTTATTTCAGTTTGCTCGTCAGTAGAGTTCTTTTCGTTCATCGATATTTTGCTCGTCAGTAGAGTTCCTTTTCCCACTTTGCTCTTTACTAATACTCTTTACTAATTGTTTATACACTTATTTTATTTTATTCGTCAGTAGAGTCCTTTTTGTTTATCAATATTTGCTTGTCAGTAGAGTCCTTTTCCCTCTTATTTCAGTTTGCTCGTCAGTAGAGTTCCCTTTACCTTTGTTCCCTTTGAATTTGTTTGCATATTTATTTTAATTTGTTTGTTAGTAGAGTCCCTTTTACCCAGCAATATATTGCTCGTCAGTAGAGTCCCTTTTTTTTTTCAATTTGCTCGTCAGTAGAGTTCCCTTTTCCGACCAGCAGAGTCCTTCCTCTTATTGCAATTTGTTAGAATACTTATTTTTTAGTTTGTTCGTTAGTAGAGTCCTTTTTGTTTATCAATATTTGCTCGTCAGTAAAGTTCCTTCTTTCTCTTATTTCAGTTTGCTCACCAGTAGAATTTCTTTTCCGATCAGTAGAGTCCTCTCTCTTATTGCAATTTGTTTGCATACTTATTTTAATTTGTTTGTCAGTAGAGTCCCTTTTGTCCAGCAGTATTTTGCTCGTCAGTAGAGTCCATTTGTCTCTTGATTCAGTTTGCTCGTCTAGAGTTCCCAATTTCGATCACTAGAGACCTCTCTCTTATTGCAATTTGTTTGCAAACTTATTTTTTAGTTTGTTCGTCAGTAGAGTTCTTTTTGCTCATCCATATTTTGCTCGTCAGTAGAGTTCTTTTCCCACTTATTTCAATTTTTGATTCCAAAAAATAGCAACATAATAATAAAGATTTTTTCCCATCTTGCTCGTCAGTAGAGTTCTTTTTTCCTCTCATTTCAGTTTGCTCGTTAGTAGAGTTTCCTTTTCCTTTCAATTCAGTTTGCTCGTCAGTAGACTTCCTTTTTCCTCTCATTTCAGTTTGATCGCCAGTAGAGTTATTTTTTCCAGGTCTCCTGTTATAAAAGTTGCTTTTTTCTCTTAAGTTACCCTTAGTTATTGTAATCGTCCAAAAACCGAAATTGAAAATTTTTGCATATCTTCACGTTTCAGATGTTTCTGAACATTTTGGCATACCTCAGAAAAAATGGATGTGAGTGTATATATGAATAAAATTTTTCGTCGACGTTTTCGGACGCACGGATCAACCGATTTGAATGATTAAAAAAATATTCGATTCATATTAATGTGCTCATTAGTTTTTGGTAAAGGCAGTTACAGCCGTTTCGGTGATACGGAGCAAGGAGTGCAAAAAATTGAAATCGAGTTTTTGAGAGAACGGAGCATACGATTAGATTTATTCAAAATACATTCGATTCGTAATGATGGAGAGAAGGGGTGATTAGTTTTTGGCAAAGGCAGGTCCAGCCGATTCGGAGATACGAAGCTAAATGTGCAAAAAATTGCAGTTTTTGAGAGAACTAAGCATGCGATTTGAATGATTCAAAAAACCTTGTGCTTGTTGTTGACGAAACGATTGCTTTTGGGTAAAGACTTTTTGTTCTTAATTACCAAAAAATAATTATATTGAATTTCATACTTCGATTATTTCATTATGGTACGGGAAGTTTCAGCAATTTGCCTTAAGGCACGAAGCCATACACCACTAGTTTCTATTCATTCTGTTCGCCAGTAGAGTGCATTTATTTACTATTATTATTATTATTATTATTATTATTATTATCTAACTATTTCTATTATTGTTATTTTGTTATATTTTATTATTTTTCTAGTATTATTTTATTATTCAGAAATTTTATTTATATTATTTATTAATTTTATTTTTATTATTATTTGCTTATATTTTACACTAAATCATATTACGGATATGATTTTCATGTAAATTTTATCCTTTGCTCTTTTATTTATTTAAATTTATGTTATTATTTATCAATATTACTTGATGTTAATAAATTAGCAGTTGTAATAATTATTGAAATTAAAAAAAAAAAAGTAGAGTGCATTTTAATTCTATCGACGACTTTAAGACGACTGATTACGTCAGTACTCAAGTAGAGTTATTTGTAACCCACAACCACAGTTTCTATCTATATTGTATGACACATATCGAGTGCCGAAACGTATAAAATAAATCAAAAAATATTTTTTCCCCAGTCGGCTCAACTGGTCCTCGACTACGAAGAAAAACTCCGTCTATCCCTCGAGCGCCAAGAGTCTCTAAAACAGAACTATCCGCCGCCCGTGCAGGCTTCACCGCCAACTCGACAATCTACCAGAGAAAAACCATGGAACTCGAGTCTCAAATTCGTGAAATGGAAAAGAACCAGCAAATTTCCAACATGACCATTAACAATTCATTCTCTATCGATTTCTACGAGAGAAGGATTCAGGAATTAGAAGGTAAGCTGAAGGAGTACGAGGTGAAAGCGTTGGCGACGCAGGAGACTCCGAGGAAAGTTAATAATGCAGGCGCTGGTGGGAAGTCGGCGACGTGTACTCCTAGGAAAGGTAAAGAGTTTTTGAGTACCAAGGAGGAGAGGCTGCAGTCGCTGGGAGAGAATGTTAGGGTTGTTAAGAGGAGGAAACTTTTTTCGATGAGTGAATATAATTTTGTATATATATATATATATATATATTATATATATATATATATATATATATATATATATATTCATATGTATATAAGTATAAACGAGTTATTTAATATAATCTAATTTTCGTATTTTGAAATATTTGTTTTTGTTACATTTATATATCTTATATATATTAAGTATATATCATTAAGTTTGTTTACAATAAATCCTAAAAATTAATTTAAAAAAATAGTAAGTTTTTAGTTGTTTAATCTAGACGTTTTGGATACTATATACGTTCCATCATTAGGCTTTATTTAGTCAAAAACAATTTTTTTATATGAAACAATATTGTTGGGTAACTGATATAAATAAATTGTTTTAATATAAAGCCATATTTTTTTCAAGTTAAAACGAGTCGGTAATTTTTAATTATGCTAATCCGGTAGTTAGGGAAGAAAGCTAAAAAATTTAATGATGTTAATATAACAAATACGATTTAAGAATGTAATAAAAATCGTTTTTTTGAATGAGATTTTTTTAAAATCAGAATTACTTACTAAGAATTTCATTATTCCGTTATATGCTCATTTTATTGTTATATTATATCTTATATTTTTGGATCTGGGTTTTTTCAGCTTCCAAAATTAATAATAAAATTTTGTTCAATTTTTTTCATAAACTATTTAAAAATAATTAGCAATTACTACAAGTAGTCAAGAAGTTCTTTTTCAAATTTT